CACAGGGAGCCAGTGGAGTGATTTTAACACCGGAGTTATGTGCTCCCTCCTTTTGGTACCTGTTAAGATCCTAGCTGCTGTATTCTGAACGAGCTGGAAGCTCTTCAAAGAGGCTTTAGGGCACGCTGCCAGTAAAGCGTTACAGTAGTCGAGCCTTGAGGTGACAAACGCGTGAATGAGTTTTTCCGCGTCACTTTTAGGAAGGAAATTCCTAATTTTAGCAATGTTCCGTAAGTGGAAGTACGCCGTTTTAGTTGCTTGGCTTATATAAGCCTTGAAGGAGAGTTCTTGGTCAAAAATGACTCCAAGATTCCTCACAGTGTTACTGGGTATTATACTGACATTATCGAGAGTAACCATCTGGTTAGTGAGGGAGTCACGCAGGCGCTTCGGACCGAGTAGGATCACTTCTGTCTTCTCCGGGTTGAGAAGTAGGAAGTTAAGAGTCATCCACATTTTAAGGTCCTTTATGCAGGCACTGAGCTTTTCTAGCTGATCTGTCTGATTAGGCTTCATCGACAGATAAAGCTGTGTGTCATCTGCATAGCAGTGGAAATTAATTCCATGCTTTTTAATAATGTTTCCCAGTGGCAGCATGTAGAGAGTAAAAAGAATCGGTCCGAGTACCGAACCCTGCGGCACACCGAATTCCACTCCAGAATAAGGCGACGAGTCCTGATTCACATTGACGAAGTGATATCAATCTGATAAATAGGATTTAAACCAGCCAAGGGCTGTTCCTCTAAGACCTATATCACATTCTAGCCTCTGCAGTAGAATGCTGTGGTCTATTGTGTCAAATGCAGCACTAAGGTCCAGTAGGACCAGCACTGACACTTGTCCATTATCGGCAGCTAGTAGTAAGTCATTTGTGACTTTGACTAGTGCCGTTTCAGTGCTATGATGAGCTCTGAATCCTGATTGAAAGACTTCAAACATATCATTTTCCTGCAGGTGGCAGCGGAGCTGCTCAGCTATAAGTTTTTCCAGGATTTTAGATATAAAAGTGAGGTTTGAGATCGGTCTGTAGTTTGTAAGTATTTCTGGGTCCAGGTTTGTTTTCTTCAGAAGGGGTTTGATTACCGCGGTTTTAAAAGCTTGTGGGACATAGCCACATTGTATGGATGCGTTTATTATATTTACGATAGGCTCAATTATCAAAGGAAGTATGATGTTCAAATGGTCAAATATTAAAATATACAACACATGCAAGTTGAGGCTTTTGAGGATGTGACCACAGAGATCACCTCTGCTTGGCTCACAGCCATGAATTTATTAAGGCCCACTGAAGAGTCTAAGTGGGAAGTCACGTATGCCGCTTCAACCTGTCCACCACTAACAGCAGGAGCAACCTCCTCCAGCTTGTCACGGATGGATGTAATTTTATTATTAAAGAAGTGGAGAAAGTCGACACTGCTCAGTGAGCTTGGAATTTTAGGCTCGATTGCGCTATGGCAGTTTGTGAGTTTAGCGACGGTGCCAAACAAAAATCTACTGTTGTTTTTATTCGCTTCTATCAAA